CTGTTCGTTAATAGCTGCTTGTGAGAATTGTTACTGGAAGCCCATGCAAAGGAGACAGAAAGAGCTAATTAAAAAAAAAAAAAACCTGTAAATATGGTTCTCAGTTTTTATAGGCCACAAAAAGTCTGTGGAATCAGAATGACAACAGGGGCAAAAGCAGTGACATCTGAAATGATAATGTACAGCTCAGTTTAAATTGGAAGTTACGTTTGTTTTATGCCTTGTAATCCAACTTTACTAAAATGCCCATTAGGGACGAGAACTTTCCCTGACTTTGTGCATAAGATGTAAGTAGAGCACACTATAAATGTTTTACTTGGTCAACCTCTAAAATATCTTTGCATGAAAAGCATGAAAACATCAGGTGACCTTGCTTTTCCTCCCGCCAGTATGAAGAACAAAAATATCCCTAATTGATTTGTGTTAGCACAGAGTGCTTTTATATCTCCCTTAAAATGTCTACCCAGTTGTTAGTCATCATTTAAATGTTCTTTCAATAGAAATAAAAAAGGAATGTGAAAGGAGTGATAAATAAGGCATTAGACTGTGAAGAGGGAAATAGAGTAAGAAGGTGCTAGGAGCTCTGGAGAGCCAGTTTTTGGGTTTGAATCTGTGCAGTAGAGAAGAGAACTGTAATTTGTCAGAAAAAATACTCTCAGGACCAATTGTGAAACTTAATTGCATTAACGATCATGAAGAGTAAGAAAGGCTCTCAGTTTGATACTGTAAATTGATATTGTAAACTACAGTAATATATTCATGCAGCTATGTTGCAAATATATTAATGAAAGTGTAGCTTCAAGCTGTATTTAATGTTGGAGTTGGGTCCTAATGCAGCCCAGGATGATGTTGGCTGTTTTGTCCTGCGAGGGTGGGTTGCTGGGTCCTGGTCAGTTTGTTGTTTGGTGCTTTTTTGCAGAAGTTCTTTCCAGCTTGTCAGGTCCCAGCCTGTATCTGGTGCCTGGGGTTATTCCTCCTCAGGTGCAGGACTTGGCAATTCCCTTTTGAGCTTGGATACTCCTCTCTGTCCAGTTCTCCAGCCTGTCGTAGTCCCTTTGAATGGTAGCACAATCCTGTGGTGTGTCAGCCACTCCTCGGTTTTGTACTGTCTGCAGGGTGCAGAGGTGTAATGAACGTAACGGAGATACTAAACAGTACTGGCCCCAGTGTTGAGTGCTGGGGTGCCCTACTAGCGACTGGCCTCCAACTGGACTGTTTGCTGCTGATCACAATGTTCTGGACCTAGTCTTTCAACCAGTTTTTAATCCTCTTAATTTGTCTAACGTGTACACTGTCAGCTTGTCTATGAGGATGTTATGGAAGACAGCATCAAAAGTCTTCCCAGCACTGAGGTAAACAGCATCCACTGCGCTCTCCTTAGTCACCTCATCATGGAAGGCTGTCAGGTTGTCAGGCATGATTGCTTCTTTGTGAATCCATGCTGACTACTCAGTCGGCGTCTTGTCCTTTGTGTGTTTGGAAATGGTTTTCAGGAGCATTTTCTCCATCACTGTCCCAGGGATCAAGGTGAGGCTGTCCTGCTTGCAGTTCTCTGAATCTTTCTTCTTGGCCTCCTTGAAGACAGCAATGATGTTTGCTCTTTTCCAGTCTTCAGGAACCTCTTCCACTTGCCCTTATCTTTCAGAAATTGAGAGTGGCCTCTCAATGACATCAACCACCTCCCTGATGTCAACCAGTCCAAGGGAGGGACCCATGCACTTCCGAATGTCCAGTCTGTTAAAGCGCTCCTGTTCCTGGAGCACTTGGTTGAGGCACCTGTTCCTGCTCCACCAAGTGTAAGTTGTCTTAGCTTGAGTATTCCTGTGGTCTGCAGTGCCTGGGATTCCTGCCTCAGACAAAGGCGGCATTGGTATATTGGCCATTTGCATGTTCTTTGTCACTAGCTCCCCTGCCTCATTCAGCAACAGGCCCACGTGTTCCCCAGTCTTCCTTTTTGCTGCTTATGTGCTGGTAGAACCCTTTCTTGGTGCCTTTCACCAGACTGACCTCTGGTCACCCCTGCCTTTCCTAACCCTTCCCCTTGTGCTGGTTTTAGTTGGAACAGGGTTAATTTTCCTCACTGTAGCTAGTATGAGGCTGTGTTTTTTGGATTCGTGCTGAGAAGAATATTGATAATGCACTAATGTTTTTAGTTGTTGCTAAGGAATGTTTATACTAAATCAAGGACTGTTTCATTTTCTGATACTGCACCTGTGTTCGCAACTTCTATACAAGGAGGTGGGAGGGAGCACAGCCAGGACAGCTGACCCAAACTGACCAAAGGGACATTTCATGCCATCAAATGTCATCTTTGACAACCCTCAACATCAGAAGGATATAGACCAGTTGGAGTGAGTCCAGGGGAGGCCACGAAGATGCTCAGAGGGCTGGAGCCCCTCTGCTATGGGGACAGGCTGAGAGAGTTGGGCTTGTTCAGCCTGGAGAAGAGAAGGCTCCGGGGAGACCTTATTGCACCTTCCAGTACCTGAAGGGGCTACAAGGAAGCTGGGGGGGGACTTTTTACAAAGGCCTGTAGTGACAGGACAAGGGGTAACGGGTTTAAATTGAAAGTGGGGAGATTTAGATTAGATATGAGGAAGAAATTCTTCCTGGAGAGGGTGTTGAGGCGCTGGAACAGGTTGCCCAGAGAAGCTGTGGATGCCCCATCCCTGGAAGTGTTCAAGGCCAGGCTGGATGAGGCTTTGAGCAACCTGGTCTAGTGGAAGGTGTCCCTGGTCCCTGCCCATGGCAGGGGGGTTGGAACTAGATGATCTTTAAGGTCCCTTCCAACCCAAACCATTCTGTGATTCTATGTTCAAGATGACATTGGGAGAGTTGCCTGGGAGGGGATCAGTTGTATCATTTTATTTTTCCTTCCCTTTTTCTTTTTTTAAATTATCATTATTAGTAGTAGTATTTTCATTGTACATAATTATTGGTAGTAGTATTATTAGTATTATAATTAATTTAATTTGAATTATTAAACTATTCTTATTTCAACCCATGAGTTTCTCTTACCTTTTTCTTGTGATTCTCTTCCCCCATCCCACTGGGGGAAGGGGGAGGAGACAGAGTGGCTTTGTGGTCTCAGTTGCTGACTGGGGCTAAACCACAACAACCCTGCATGATCAGTCAGCAGTTGCCCTCCTTTTGGGTCGCCTCACCTACTTGCACCTCTTTTCATGTACGAGTTCAGTGAGGAGCTCCTTACTCATCCATGCAGGCCTCCTGCTGCCTTTGCTTGACTTCCTGCTTTGCCAGATGGACCTTGTTTGAGTTACCGCCTTTTTTTAAGTTTTATGCTTTATGCAATGTTGTGAGGTTCTGATGTTTACAATAGTTATGTCAAATATAATAAATGTAATCCTCCTTTAACAAGGTATCCTCTCTGTTACTAGGATGTGAGAGTGAGGTGCTAATGATGTTTCTCTATCAATTTAAAACATAGTAAAGCAAGCTTGTATTCTGTGGCCTTTAGTGAAGGGAAATAAACTGTGTAGGACGTCACAAAAATATGCCTGGGATTATTCCTCCGCATGACTTGGTGTTTCCCCTTGTTGAACTTCGTGATATTCTTCTCTCCACTTCTCTAGCCTGTTGAGAATGCCTTTGAATGGGTATTTATTGAGCAAAACCTCTTTTCCAAATGATACAATGACTGCTGCTGATACTTCCCAAGACACTTTTATTTGTTAGGAGGTTAAAAACAAAAAAAACCAGTCAAATATTTTGAAAATATGCTTAATCAGTAATGGTTTTTGTGGTAAAAAGTGACATCTCCACAGGTGAGGTAGTCTTACTTGTGTATGTGCATATTTTAGGACATTCTGGCATTCAAAATGTGTTTAATAACCTTGGCTTTGCCTGTAACTCTATCCAAGTAGATATATTATTAGAATGAGTTTAATAATTGCAGTGAGATTTGCACTAGAAATGTTCCCTTCCCAGATATATTAAGAAGAAAATACACAAAATCAGGAGATTCTTAGCTATAGCCTCTGTTAATAGGAAGACTGAAATGCTGTCTAGTTCTATTGGCTGCTTATCAACAAACGTGATGTGGCTTCTGACTTAAATCTCTGTGATGCCCTGTCAAGGCTGAAAAACTTGAAGAAACAGTCTCAGGATTTTGCTCTTAGAGCTGTGTAAAAAAAAAAATACAATTTCAGGCAGAATGCAGGAGATGCTGAGTGTGAATGGGTTCTCTGGCTCTTCTTAGTATCTGAAACTAATTTTTACTTTTGTTTGTCCTTGTGTAACTGGAAAGGGCTGTATGTTTTGAAGAGTAGTTTAAAAAAGTTTATCTAGGTTGCTGAAAGGTGAAATTGAGTTAAGTCTAGTAACAGGCATTCAAAATGCTATTTTTAGTTTAGATTGTGGTGATCTCATCCCTTGCCATTTTAAGAGGTCTCAATTGTTTTCTGGGGAGGCATTGATAATTGATAGCAGAATGGCATGTAGAGTTCTGGCATGTCTTCTGTCGAGTCACTTATTAAAAATAATCCAGTCTTGTGAGCTTGACTTATGTGGTGAATTGTCTTCTTAAGTTTAGGTCATGCCTTGCTTCCGAGTAGAAAAATATGCAGTTGGTTTTTGAAGATCCAGAATGAGAAAGTAGAGAGAATGTGATCAGAGCAGTAATACGGAAAGTGAAATGGAAATAAGAAAACCAGATTGAATGGAATATCTTAAATCAGTGTTTGATGAGTAAGACTGCTTACTGGTTGAGATTAAAACTGCAACTCCAATTTAAGTCCCGGTGCCACTAATCAGCGGTGTAATGTATCTGTACTGTTTATAGTCCTGCGCAGAGCCAGTCAGTGAGTGTTAGCTCCTTTGCGGTGACTGGTTTATAAACATCCTTGAGAGCTTGTTTGATTTGCCCACTAGGAATGTAATGCATGCTTGAATAATATATAATAAGTCTTACTGTAGTAGTATTAAAGTTATTAATTATGATTTTAGAACTCAACTTATTTTTCTTTATTTTTCAGGATGGCTTGAATTCTTTGGTCCTTGATCTGGATTATCCAGCGCTCAGGAAGAACAAGAACATCGATAATTTCTTAAATAGATGTAAGTTGCAAGGGGCCCTTAAGCAATGACATTGTTGTGATCTCAGTCATAGGAAGCTGAGTGGTCAGAAATGCATTGCTGATTTTCATTCTACTAATTCTTACAACCCTGAGCTTCTATATTTAGAAGAGTTTGGAGGACCATTAATTACAGAGAGGTTTCATTCTGGGGAGTCATTGTATTGCTGAAAGTAAGCTGGAAATTACCAGCTGCAGATTTTAATTTTTTCCAGCTACTGCTGCAAAAATCCTTTTACGTTATTTTTTTTTTATCTTAAGTGTGTGCTGCTACATAATTTGCAAAGCATATTCCAGTTATTCTTTAGGAATTAATTACACAAAATGGCAACACTGTATATGCAGTCTTTTTTAATCAAATAGAGAAGCCTTCTGTTGCTTTTTTTAAAATTGAATTATTGTACCTTTTAAAATCTATTGGTGCATTTTTTTAACTTCTGTGTAAATGTTTGTGATTCCTCCAAAATTAATTGTAGACAGGATCTTGAAGTTTGTGTGCATAAAAATGTGAGACACTTACATAAAAGTAGCTGTATTTTGTCTTCTTAAAGTGTTTTTATCCATATATATGAACTCTTCTTTTCCCTTGTGAAAATAATGGATTATTTGCTTTTAAAATGTTTAGTAAGTCTTCTTGGAACAGCTGTGTTTTGTAGTGAGCTTTTTTTGAGATTATTTTTTCTTTTTTAAAACTTTTCTGTTGCATATCTTGAGGTTACTGCGAATGCAGTCTTATCAACCATTTCTCTTTTGATTTTCTACTGGCTAGAGCTACATGTGTCTGCCCTGAGTTGCTCTGGGACTCTTGAGAATATCCACTTATGCTGCTCAGTTAAATGGTGGCTGGGGTAGTCATCTGTGGTGAGTTCTTATGTTTGGAATTTAGTGCTTCTCTGTGAGGTTTCACAGAGCCCCATAGCTGGATGTACAGCTTCACAGCTGCCAGTAAATTCTCATTTGGAGAAGTCACTCAAAACAGAATAAATAAGAAGCAGCAGATTAGGAAGGAGAGGCATACCATGGGATTTTTCTCATTTTGCGTTCAAAGGAATTCCAGCAGATATTTATGAAAGGGTCAGGAACAGCATTTTCAGTAATCTTGTTACCTGCAACTGTGCATTTTAAGTGTGAAACATGAAAATTATGTAAATTACCGTACCAGTAACCTTTATAATGGAATCATAGAATGGTTTGGGTTGGAAGGGACCTTAAAGACCATCTAGTTCCAACCCCCCTGCCATGGGCAGGGACACCTTCCACTAGACCAGGTTGCTCAAAGCCTCATCCAGCCTGGCCTTGAACACTTCCAGGGATGGGGCATCCACAGCTTCTCTGGGCAACCTGTTCCAGTGCCCCACCACCCTCTCCGGGATGAACTTCTTCCTGATATCCAATCTAAACCTTCCCACTTTCAATTTAAACCCGTTCCCCCTTGTCCTGTCACTACAGGCCCTTGTAAAAAGTCCCCCCCAGCTTCCTTGTAGCCCCTTCAGGTACTGGAAGGCTGCAATAAGGTCTCCCCGGAGCCTTCTCTTCTCCAGGCTGAACAAGCCCAACTCTCTCAGCCTGTCCCCATAGCAGAGGGGCTCCAGCCCTCTGAGCATCTTCGTGGCCTCCTCTGGACTCGCTCCAAGTGGTCAATATCCTTCTGATGTTGAGGGCTCCACAGCTGGACGCAGCACTCCAGGTGGGGTCTCACCAGAGCAGAGTAGAGGGGCAGAATCCCCTCCCTCGACCTGCTGGCCACACTTGTCTGGATACAGCCCAGGATACGGTTGTCTTTCTGGGCTGCCAGCGCACACTGCTGGCTGATGTCCAGCTTTTCATCTACCGGTACCCCCAAGTCCTTCTCCTTAGGGCTGCTCTCAACAGCTTATGAGCTGTTCAGATTCACGTTTACATGAAAATACTATTTTTGCAGTATGACAAAATCTGAAACTTTTTTCTTATCAGAAGGCCAGCATCTTATTATATCTGACTATTAAAAATAGCAACTATATGGAAAATTTAACCTTGGAAACTCTTAAGTTTTTCCTCCCTGCAGCCCCTGAAGATTCTTGCTTTCTTCCCTTTTCTGAAGGCTGTTGCTCCTTCTCCTACTCTAGCTTCTCCTCCACTGTTGTAGTAAATATAATTAAGCATCTGATGTGGCCTTCAGGCTACCAGCAATGGCAGAAACCCAGAAGTATGCTTTGGTTCACAATTTTATTACTGCCTTTTATTTTTTTAAATCGGCGGACAGTTTATAGTTGAAATAGCCAAGATACTGGTTAAAAGAAAATTCTGAGTTGTATTATAAGAAAAATCACAGTAGTTAATGCAGTTGTTTTGGGGGTGCACTTCATCCTTACCTGTTGAACTTTAAAAAAAGCAGGTAAGAGCTGACTGTTTTGGCTCACACAGTGTGAGGCTGTGCAGGAATCACATATGTAACTTCTCTTCCATTTCCATGCTGCCTGGGAGGGAATGAAAGCCAGTGCTGCATATCTTCTGTGATTTACACTTAGAAAAAAAATTCTGAATTGAGAATTTTGTAAGCATTTGAAGCTGTTATTTTTCAAGCATTATTTTGCTGTTGCGTCTGGAAGAATCAGTCCTGACACAGTGATGTGTTTCAAAGTCCTTTCTGACACAGGTATTTGTGGTTTGTTATGAACCAGCTCTGGGAAAGGAGCAGACGTAATGCAGAGAGTGAGGTGGGTGGTTGGTTTGTTTCTTTCTGTTAAAACTCGTCAGGCAAAAGAAAAGCAAAGACCAGTTTCTGATTCTCACTTCGCTTCACCGATACTTGTGCCAGCAGAAAGGGAGTTGCTCTGGCGCAGGAAGGAGCTGGAAGACAGTTGGGTTCTTATTGGCGTTGCCATTTTATGCAATTTGAAGTTGCTGAACCTGTATCTCGTGTCTTTTTGGAAAATGTTCCGAGGGTGGCAGATGTCAGTGGAAAGGAAGAAAAAGCCTCTTGCTGCCATGGTCTTGGAAGAAGAGTTGGGAGTTGTATTAAGAATTTATGGAACAGTAAGTTGTTGCTCTCTTAGGTTAGGGAACAGTGAGTTCTTGTCTCTTCTGATTTTTCTCAGCAACTGAAGAGCTGCAGCAAATGCCTAGATGAGAATTATTGTCAAAAGGTTCTGACAGACCCTGAGCAGGTTGTGCTGGCGGCATGGAGCCTGCGTCTCGCTGGGAGTCTCCCTGAGGGAACCGCAGAGAGGTGGTGGGGCCGTCTTGTGAGTTAGCACTCCCTAGTGCACAGGGAGGCAGCAGCTGAGGCGGAGTCGTTGCTTATGGCTGTTTTACTCCCTATTATAGCAGTTTTCAAAATTGTGGAGAACACTACAGTGGTCATCGTGCTAACAGTCAATTTAATCGCTTAATTCTCCCACAGTAACACTTTGATAAGGAAGGTTTTTTTTTCTACCATATTCCCAGGGGCTTGGATACACCCTACTGCAGACCTGCTGCAAATCATTACTAATCAGGTTAATGTTTTATTAATAGCTTATTTTAATTTAAAAATTAAATAGCTTGCATTTCAGCTGAGTTACTAATTGATATTTACCTCAGCTCCTAGTTTCAAGCTGAAACTCAAAACGTTTTAACTCATTTCACAAAGCTACAATTTTTTAATTGCCTGTACTCAGCACAGAGAGCGTGGTGAGGTTGCCCAGGGAACCTGTGGATGCCCTATCCCTGGAAGTGTTCCAGGCCAGGCTGGATGAGGCTTTGAGCAACCTGGTCTAGTGGAAGGTGTCCTTGCCCATGGCAGGGGGTTGGAACTAGGTGATCTTTAAGGTCCCTTCTAACCCCAGCCTTTTTATAGGAGTTTGATATGTCCTGTTTCTGTGATCGCTTTGCAGAAGCAGCCTCTCCATACGTCTAATGTGCAAGAAACCTTTTAACTGCCTGCTTTCCCTTATTATTCTGATTTCCTACCACTTTCTGTGAGGCATTGAACCAAAGTAGAGCATGTATTTATCATAAGAGGCACCTAAGTATCTCCGATAATAGTACAGCCATTCCTTTTCAGTCTTCTCTGTTGCTTTAATCAACTGTTAGGATTCTGGTTAAACTGCTGCTTTTCTGGAGTATTCATGGGACAGGAAAGCATAACGTAATATGTAATTCCCAAAACAATAAGAGGAATCTCACGTTCCTCTGAGAGCAAGAACTAGCCTGCTTATTTTAGAAAAAAAGCTTGAGCTTTCTGGCATGGCCTTGGTGTAACATGTCTTTCTTGGCTTTGGTGTTTTGGTTTTATTTTTCTCCCCACTCGTCTGTCACTTAGGCTATGATAAGAGGTTGAGTAAATTCTTCCAAGTCACTTTTTTCTGTCCTCTGAGATTTGCCAGGTGTTGAATCTTGTGCCTTTTTTGGTGGTCTGCATGCTGGTACTACGTAACCTGTCAGCTGCCTTAATTCTGTAAGCAGGAACTTAAATGATGAAGGAACAGTTTTAAATGATTTAATAGCTTTAACCCTTGCTTATTATCTTATAATCAGGAATAGAAGGGCATGAAGAATAGATTTTTGAGGAATGAGGAGTGGTGTCGTCAGCAGGCCTGGTACAATCCAGAAACCTTGATTCCTGAAACGCAGCAGTGATTTCCTGTGCACCATCCAGCATCACTCAAAAACTGGAAACCGCTGTTAAAATTATGTGCTGATGTTTTGGAGGTTGTCAAACCTCTAGAATGTAATGGCAATGGGTATATTCACAGTAGGAGGAGCTTTTAATGCAGGTGTGTCACTTGTGCAGTAGTGTTGCAAACTCCCTGAATAAACTTCCTGGAAAGTTGCTTTTCCCATTTTCCTCTCCAAGCAGACAAGATTTCTCTCTTAACTTCTTGCAGAAGTAACAGTTCTGGTTCCTTCCCTTACGTTTTGTTATGTCACTTGAAGTTGCTGAATCATGTGCCAGCCATGCAGTTAACAACAGAAATGAGTTATCTGGTGTGGTGTTAACGCCTAGCATGACTTGTGTCCCAC